CAGTTATAGGTATCATTCATATTTTTCGATTGGTGAATACGAAGTTAATGATTTTGGAAAGAAAATGTTATATCATCTGCTTAAGAGCAATATTTCATTATTGAAGTTGTGTGTGTGCAGTGCAAACTTCATTAAATATTTTATTATTAAAAGCTAATAATTAAATAAGATTGACATATATTTTTCTCTTGCTTATGCTGGGGCCACACTAACGGGAAATGCCGTTAATTATCGCGATGGTGGATGTTTAACGTACAGTACGCGTGTTATCTGAAGTCAGTTGCATGGGGTATGAGAGATGACACACTCCGGCGCCTCACACGCCTGCAATGTATTAACTCAAGCTGTGTTTCCAAGCACTAGCAGATTCCTCAAAACTGTACTCAGATCGCACGCGATGACGATCATCGCAATAATTAATAGCAGTGCCCATTAGTGTAGCCCCAGCACTACAGAGGAACTCGATGGAGCAGTAGTTAGCACGTTTTGATTTTTATTCTATATTATAGGGGCTGACGGCTCACCTGCTCACGGGCAAGTGTGACCCCTGCAACACCCTCTGGTGTGTATATATGACGCTTTGTTAGATAAATCACTTATTAAGGCCCGTATTACAAAATGATAACTAAGTGTTAATCTTTACTTGAGTATAATTAGAAAGGGATGTCGCTATGTGCTATATATAGCGACATCCCTTTCTAACTATGCTCAAGACTAGATCAATCACTGAAAATCTTTCTATAATACGGGCCTAAATGACGGTCGTTCAACATGGATAAAGTTAGTAAACGGGTTATTACAACAATATTCCCCAGATCTCTCTTTGGTGACATCAGATGTAGCATTAAAATTTACTTGGAATATCACTAATGAAACTTTGGGTAGCGATCAGGTTATTACTCTAACAACTTATTCAGAAAAAAAAAACCCTTTTATTAAACAATATATTAAGAATGCAGATTGTTTTTTTTATGCTTAATAGGCAAGCCGTTTGACCACAATCTCGCCTGATGGAAAACGAAGACGAGGCCTAGGATGGTACACGCCTGAAGATGTCCAAATTATATTGTTATAAATAGTTGTTACATCAGTTATTCTCACACTTTACCTACCCTCAAAATGTAAAACAAGCATACGATATGTTTATAGATTATATTAACTTAGCATCGGACTTGTACATCCCGGTTATGAAGTTTAATTAAAGCCCGACGGATACGTTAATATCTAAACCATATTAGTCACCTGACTTATCAAAGGCAGTAACGAAACGACGCCACGAGGTATCAAAATTTAGACGTAATACAACCTCACAGAACTTTGACACATTAAAAAATAAAATTAGCATGACCCAGAAAGCTATAAGTCAAGAAAAAACATAACTTTTGGACATCATTAGATCATTCTGCGTCATCAGACGAGATGTGACGTAGAATAAGATAGGCTAAGGGCAACAGAGAACAAAGCTGTACCTGATCAACTCGTTACTGAATTGATAATTTGACCCCCGAGTCGGTGGGCACAGAACAACCCACTTTTATATCTTCCTAATCTGACTTAAATGCTTCATTTTTGTTGATGTTTAACTCTATCAGAAATACCGCCCCCGGTTTGACGGGATTTCTTACTGTATGTTCGAAAACCTACCATAAAGCGGAAAACAGATTTTGCAATTTTTATTTAATTTTTTTTTTTATAGATCACACCAAATGACTCCACCCCACCTGATGTTAAGTGAAGGTGAAGTCCAGACGTGACGATAGCTGATACAGCAGTTTTACCTGCCACACCAGCCATCTTCACCCTGCCGGCCTGCATGTTGCTTCTTCACGCCTCTTTTAAAGGATCCCAGGTTGTAAGAGGGAGGGAACACGTGAGCGGGCAGAGCATTCCATTTACGGATAGTGCGACAAAGAAATGAGTCACCAAATTTCTTTGTACGCGTTGGAATTGTGGCCACAGTTAGACGATGACAACGTAGGCCAGCGCGCGTGGTCCTCTGAAGGAAAGGAGAAGGTGGGATAAGAGAGAATAACTCCTCGGAACACTCGCCGTGGTACAGACGATAGAACGCGCTTAGTGACGCCAAGTCACGGCGTAATTGAAGAGGCTCAAGGTGTTTAGTCACCTCCTCATCGCCTATGATGCGGATCGCGCATTTAATATTATTTAATGAATTTGTACCTAAACAATGGAGAGAAATAAAACAAGTTGCTGTACCCAAACCAGGGATGGATCTGAATGAATGAAGTCTCGACTTGCGTCCGATATCGATGATGTCATGTGTCTGTAAAATATTCCATTTAATCTTAATAAGCGTATGGAGTACTTTGTGAGAAAAGTAATAATAATAAATAAATAATAAATAAATATATCTTTCTTTATTCAAATAAGGTCATACATTGCATAATAATACTAATAACAATATAAAGTACAAAATAATGGATGCCTGAACTAGGTTACAATTAAAATTGTACCTGTATTTCAGGCTTTTATGATCTAAATAATACATTGAATGATTAATAAATAACAAATTTATTAAAACAGAACTTAAAGTAATCATTATATAAATGTTGGTAAATGTAAATTATGGAGTTACGTTCATTTATTTACAAATAAGAAGTAATTCTTCGGTCTACTCGTATGTCAGGCTGTGCAAATAATTAAATACTACAGTTCTACAGTTAAAATAGTTTAATGTATAAATACCTAATACTCTATTTAACTTATTATATAAGAAAGGACTTAGGAAAGTAGACAATCTATGTGAAAAGATGTATTTTGAATCATGAAGATATAGTCTGCATCTCTACAGATGCAGACTATGTCTTTCCGTCTTTTGTTAGTGATATCAGAGCAAAAAGGTGAAATGGTGTGTTGTTTTAATATGGTGTGCATAATGAAAAGCTGGCGAACAGTTAACACATTACAGTATTTGTAAAGTTGATGCGTAGGATATAAGAAGGGAAGTGAATTGGTTACTTTTAAAATGGCTCTCTGAGCTCGCTCGAGAGGGATTAAAATAGTTTTGAGAGCTCCACCCCATGAAATTATACAATATTGAGGCCTATAATTGGCATAAGGCCTGATATACCTGTTTAATTAGTTTTGGACCTGCAATGGTACGTAATTTTTTTTTAAATATACATTAATTTACGGATCCTGACTACTAGATTTGCAATATGCTCTCTAAAAGATAATGTGTCGTTAATTAAGATACCAAGATATTTTATATGGGATGTGTTCTGTATTAAAGGGCAATCGCATTTATTGACTGAAGGATATTGGCATTGGTGTGCGTATAAGTTAGGATTTGTAAACCCATGACAAGGCTGGCGCATAGAAAAGTGAATATAATTGGTTTTGTCAGTATTCAGTGTTAGTAAATTGCAGCGAAGCCAGTTATTTACACCATTAAGACCAAGTTGAGCTACCTCATATAATTCTGACCTACTATTGGCGCTAAAAATCAAGACCGTATCATCGGCGTAAGATATAATTTTACCACATTTTAAATTAAGGTTACATAAATCATTGATGTAAACGAGAAAAAGGGTAGGGCCGATTATACTTCCCTGGGGAATACCATAGCACGTCATTTTCTGGTAATCACTTTTAATATTTCCTATTTTAACGCATTGAGATCGATTGTCTAAATAATCTGCAAATAGTTTTAACTGCGTTCCTCTAATACCCAATGCTTCCAACTTTTTTAGAAGCTTCGGAATTGAAACGGTATCGAACGGTTTTGCTAAATCAAGAAAAACAGCTAGAGTATGCTTTCCTTTGCCTATTTCCTGAGTAATATAGTTAGTCAGGTTATGCACCGCATCTGCTGTTGACAACTTTGCCCGAAAACCAAATTGCGTAGGTGACAAATAGTTATTTTTTTCCAGGTAGTCAATAAGCCTTTCGTTAATAATTTTTTCTAATAGTTTTGATAAGGATGGAAGCACTGATATTGGTCTATAGTTATTTACTTGTTCTTTACATCCAGATTTATAGACAGGAGTAACTACTGCTTTTTTTTAAACATTGTGGAAAAATACCCTGCGAGAGGCAGATTTGAAAAATCAAAGCCGACTGCACTATCATCTTTCAAATTTGTAATTATTTGTAAAATTTCTTGTTGGTCGGTATCTAACATAACAAAACTATTCCTACTAGTGGTAGCGTTAAGTGACTGAGAAAATAGACTTAGAGGTTGGTGGCGTTCTGCAAGGTCTTTTCCCATATTAATAAAATAGTTAAATAACTATGTAAATACATAATTGGCTGATATAAGCGGTGAAGGATATTAATAAGTTAATAAAGTAACTTGTTCCCTTACTTTAATACAGGTTTAGAAAGTTTCGTTCTACGTTTGATAACTTGGTGAGTATAGTCACTAAAATACAGCTGGGGCTCTCAAAACAAAATTTTTAAAAAGAGAGAAAGAAAAGAGAATACTCAAAGAGTACTAATGCATGCTTTATGGACATAGATACTCGTATAATAAACGTAGATGTTAAAGCGTTATTAAAATACTAGAAAAACTTAATGAATTGGTGAGCATGGGTCATGGGCTTTAGCTTTGACCCTTGCTCACCCAGCTAAAGCTTTGACCCCAGCACAGCTAAAGCTTTGACGCTTGCTCACCAAAGCTTTAAGTTTAGCCTTAGCCTTAGCCTTAGCCTTAGCCTTAGCCTTAGCCTTAGCCTTAGCCTTAGCCTTAGCCTTAGCCGTAGCCGTAGCCTTAGCCGTAGTCGTAGCCGTAGCCGTAGCCTTAGCCGTAGTCGTAGCCGTAGCCTTAGCCTTAGCCGTAGCCGTAGCCTTAGCCGTAGCCGTAGCCGTAGCCGTAGCCGTAGCCGTAGCCGTAGCCTTAGCCGTAGCCGTAGCCGTAGCCGTAGCCTTAGCCTTAGCCGTAGCCGTAGCCTTAGCCGTAGCCGTAGCCGTAGCCGTAGCCTTAGCCTTAGCCTTAGCCTTAGCCTTAGCCTTAGCCTTAGCCTTAGCCTTAGCCTTAGCTTGAGCTAGTTTTATTGGCCTTAGCTTTAGCTTTAGCCTTAGCTTTAGCCTTGTCTTTAGCCTTAGCTTTAGCCTTAGCTTTAGCCTTAGCTTTAGCCTTAGCCTTAGCCTTAGGCTTAGCCTTAGCCTTAGCCTTAGCCTTAGCCTTAGCCTTAGCCTTAGCCTTAGCCTTAGCCTTAGCCTTAGCCTTAGCCTTAGCCTTAGCCTTAGCCTTAGCCTTAGCCTTAGCCTTAGCCTTAGCCTTAGCCTTAGCCTTAGCCTTAGCCTTAGCCTTAGCCTTAGCCTTAGCCTTAGCCTTAGCCTTAGCCTTAGCCTTAGCCTTAGCCTTAGCCTTAGCCTTAGCCTTAGCTTTAGCCTTAGCTTTAGCCTTAGCTTTAGCCTTAGCTTTAGCCTTAGCTTTAGCCTTAGCTTTAGCCTTAGCTTTAGCCTTAGCTTTAGCCTTAGCTTTAGCCTTAGCTTTAGCCTTAGCTTTAGCCTTAGCTTTAGCCTTAGCTTTAGCCTTAGCTTTAGCCTTAGCTTTAGCCTTAGCTTTAGCCTTAGCTTTAGCCTTAGCTTTAGCCTTAGCTTTAGCCTTAGCTTTAGCCTTAGCTTTAGACTTAGCTTTAGCCTTAGCTTTAGCCTTAGCTTTAGCCTTAGCTTTAGCCTTAGCTTTAGCCTTAGCTTTAGCCTTAGCTTTAGCCTTAGCTGTAGCCTTAGCTTTAGCCTTAGCTTTAGCCTTAGCTTTAGCTTTAGCTTTAGCTTTAGCTTTAGCTTTAGCTTTAGCTTTAGCTTTAGCTTTAGCTTTAGCTTTAGCTTTAGCTTTAGCTTTAGCTTTAGCTTTAGCTTTAGCTTTAGCTTTAGCTTTAGCTTTAGCTTTAGCTTTAGCTTTAGCTTTAGCTTTAGCTAAAGCGGCTAAGCTAAAGCTTTAGCTTTTGTTTTTAAAAAAAATATTTATAAATATTATTATAATTTAAAAAAATTAATATAAAAAACAAACATCAACATATGTTGATGTTTGTAATCAAGAGAAAAAGAGAATTTTGTATTTGTTTTTTGTATGTGTATGCTGTTGGCGAGGCTAATAATAAATAAATAACTACCGATTGCTATATATATATAGTTTGATTTTGATTATTATTTGAAATATTTTGTCGGTGCTATGGAGCATGTATATATATACGACAGATCTGAGTTCCCAATAGTAATTGGGAAGTATGTAGTAACATACATTGGTTTGGCGTGGCACCGACTTTGGAGTCGGTTAATATTTGGATATTAATTTGACTAAAGATAAACCTAGATTAACTATAAATAACTATAAAAGATAGATGACTATAAAAAACCGGCCAAGTGCGAGTCGTGCCACGCGCAGTGTAGGGTTCCGTAGTTATGTGTCGTTAAAATACCAAGAGACCGTGAACTTTTCAAGTTGCTCTCCTATACTCTTTATAAAAAGGTTACGGTGGCGCGAATTAGAAGCTATTGCTATAGCGTCAGGAGTCGTTGGTACAGCGCCATCTAGCGACAGCTTTTTTTTATTTAATAAGATAAACAAACAATGAAAAGCTTTGTGGAATTAATAATGTTTTATTGTGGTCTTCCATAGTTTTTTTTAACTGTGTTATTGAAAGTATCTTTGACGTGTTATAAGCAAGCGGATACTCAATCTGAATCACTGTTAATGATTTCCTCGAAGGATTTTTTAATAGGTAAGATTATTTTGAACACTTTAGTTGAATGACTATTACACCTAAACTAACTAATCTATCTTAACCGTTATAATTTTACTTAAAACTTCACTATTATCATACATTTTTCAGATTGTTCAAACCCATAGTTTAGCTTTTTGAGGGGCGGGGGGAGGACGCCCATCTCGAACCAAAATCACAATGTATACACATCAAAGGTACTAAGCAACACGCATTATTTACAGAAACGGTATGTTTTATTAATTGATGTCATTTTTTTTCTAGCAAATAAATATATACCAAACTCAAAGGTGACTGACTGTGATCTATCAACGCACAGCCCAAACCACTGGACGGATCGAGATGAAATTTGGCAAGCAAGTAGATGTTATAACGTAGGCATCCGCTAAGAAAGAATTTTGATCAATTTTACCCCCAAGGGGATAAAATAGGGAATGAAAGTTTGTATGAAACTTTGCCAATTTTAAACCGATCGGGCTGAGACTTTGCATGCAGGTATAAGAAGAATCATATATGAATGTCATTGTGTATAATACAAGCCTGAGAACAAATACTGTAGTCACTTACAGCTCTACACCGAAGCAAAGCGAGGGTGGGCCGCTAGTTCTAGAATATATAGGAAGATGGCTGATTTTAAAAATAGAAACTATTTGATTGTGTTATAATAGTCAAAAGTTCAGAACCGTACAACATGTGGCTTAGACTTTTTCGATGACTATTTAAATTAGTACATTGTTTTAATAAGTATATTTTTTTTCATTACCAGACTAATGAGATCATATGTAGTAGTATTTGCGTCAAAAGTTGTATGCCAATGCTATTAAAATGCTTACATACTTCTTTTTTCTTTCAGCCTTTTAAGAGTGGTGAAGCGTACTTTAATTTCCCCACCCGGTTAACCTAATAACTTGGCTCATAAACAATATGAGATTAAAGCTTATATTCATTAATTACGTTACATAAATTCACGTCCCTTGTCACGTCGCGTCGGTCACCCGCCCATATTAGTTTTTTTGCGTTGTCACAGAATGTTTTAAACAAATTCGACCTTTAACATTTCACCGTAGTTATAATAACCTTAGTAATACTTTTAAATAAAATATTTTTCCATGCATTTGCTCGGGAAGTGTTCTTTTGTTACACATGTGCGAAATAGTTATCTATATATATATATAGTACAGTTTTATATATATAAAACTCAAACTGACCGACTGACTGACATCTATCAACGCACAGCCCAAACCACTGGATGGATCGGGCTGAAATTTGGCATGCAGGTAGATGTTATGACGTAGGCTTAGAAAGGATTTTGATCAATTCTACCCCCAAAGGGATAAAATAGGAAATGAAAGTTTTTATGAAACTTCGTCAATTTTATACCGACCGGGCTGAGACTTTGCATGCAGGTATAAGAAGAATCATAGATGAATGTCATTCTTTATTATTATAGCCTGAGAACAAAAATTGTAGTCTACACTTCAGCTCTACACCGAAGCGAAGCGAGGGCGGGCCGCTAGTTTATAAGTGCGGTAAGTTGGTTATTACAAATGAGTAGACTAATGTATGCCCGAGACGAAGTCAAGGGTTTACCATTGTCACAAGTTTGTAAATACCAATTCCACAAGAATGTCATACAACGTTTTTCAACACATTTGCGAGAAAACAGTATAATTTTTAAGTTATGGTGTAAATATTTGTTTCTTAGGTTTTCACGCACATCACTCAGTAAATGCCATCATGTGTCAATGCTCATCAGCCTTTGTGAAAGATTCATACCAATTTGTCAATGAGATTAGAGATCAACGTCTCATGGACAATGAAATCATGGTCAGTTTTGATGTTCAGTCCTTATTTACATGCCTACCAGTACAGGATTGCATTGAAATCACTAAGAAGAAGCTACTTGAAAATAATATGCCTATAGAATATGCAGTATTACTGGAGCATTGCCTTACTTCTGGCTACCTGTTATGGGGGGATGACTTCTATGTACAAATGGAGGGTGTTGCAATGGGTTCCCCTGTCTCACCTGTTGTCGCCGATATTTTCATGGAAGACTTCGAGAAGAGGGCTCTCGGCGCAGCACCTGTCACACCCAGGCTATATAAGCGGTACGTAGATGATACTTTCACAATCCTCCCAACAGATCAAATTTCTGCCTTTTTAAATCACCTTAACTCTATACACCCCAACATCCTATTCACTATGGAGTTAGAGGCAGATAATAAACTAGCTTTTCTAGATATTTTATTAATCAGGAATCCTGACCAAAGTTTAAGCCATACTGTGTATCGTAAAGTGACTCATACTGATAGGTACCTCAATGGTGACTCACACCATCACCCGAAACAATTAACTGCCGTAGGAAACTCTTTGTTTCAGAGAGCACGGGGTGTCTGTGACGAACAACACCTGGCAGCTGAACTTCAGCATGTCGAGCAAGTACTGAAGGATAATAACCTGAATGTACCACGTAGCCGTCACAGTCGCGCCAAACCTAGCACAGTCGACCGACAACCTGCTATACTACCTTACATGAAAGGAGTCACTGACAAGATTGGGAGGATTCTGAAGCGTGCTTCAATCAATACATACTTCAAGCCGCCTAAGAAGATCAACCAGTTTCTACGACCGGTCAAGTGCAATATACCCTTTCAAGTTGCTGGTGTCTACAAACTTGAATGCGACTGTGGGCTCTCCTACATCGGGCAAACAAAGAGGAGTATAGGGACTCGGGTAAAAGAACATATCGCAGATATGAAACATAGGCGCGAAAATAAATCTGCAGTGTGTGAACATGCATTAGGGGGACCAAACCACTACATTAGATTTGATAGACCACAGATCCTTGCAGCTGAGCGGCGGTTCGTTCCTCGAATGATGCGCGAGGCTATTGAGATTAAAAAATATCCAAATTTCAATAGGGAAGATGGTTGGTATATACCACCAGCTTGGGAACCTATTATACAGGAGATAAAATCCCAACCCCGAGCACACACTGCAAGACCATCAGATACTATTAGTTCTTTTTGTTTGCATAATTTAACATAAGAAGGAGATAGAAAGCCTCTCTTGAGTTTGATTCGCCGGTTCTTCTCAGGAAGGTCTCCCAATTTTGGAACCGGTGGTAGTTTACGGTAGTTAGGGTCAAATAAATAAACTCAAAATTACAAACAAGAATTTTAAATAAAATACTTTATTAAGTAAATTAAATAATAAATTCATACATAGACAATAAAAAATTTAAAAATCTTCCAATGAAATAACCGAACGCACAATATAATTCTTTCGAAGGTAGCTCGACAATTTTAAATAAAATCATTATTCTGACGATGCAGACCTGAAAAGGCTGCGAAACGTCAATAAATAAATAAAGTTTCGTGCATTAACCCGTAAAAACTAGTTTTATTTATGGTGTAAACTTTTTCTAATAAGAAAATGACGCGCATTTTCAGACGGCATCACTTGCTTGTGGTCAAAATTAGAAATACATCTTTCGTCTCTTCTTATTTTTAGTATTGAAGTGATGCAAAAGTGTAAATTGAAAGCGTTTCCAAGGAGGTACGACCGTTACATGGCCCGTAATTTTGAACTTTAGAACCTCGGAAAATACAGTCTTTATAGTAAGGGAGCTCAAGCGAGGATTTATTCTAGCGTGGTCAGTATAACATAAAGGGGGACAACCTTGTACCTAGTGAAGTACTCCTACCATGCCTCAGACCTTTATAGAGGGTTGAACGTCTATAAAAGCAAAAATAAAATTTCATCAATCGTCAGTCTTCTGTAAACCCTTTTAAGGCTCCCAAAATAATAGTATCCTTTGTCTCAATCCAGGTAATTAACTATACGTGTGGCAAATTTCATTCAAATCCGTTCAGTAGTTTTTGCGTGATTGAGTAACAAACACAAAAAGAGTAGCAGCAGGAAATCCCACTCAGATTACCATTTTTATATTACAAGAGAACAAAATCTTTTGAAATATTTAAAAAAGCCTTTTTTGTATAATGGAGGTCATAAATTCGAGGCAGGCGCTGGTCATTTCAAACTTGAATAACAATTTTTCATTGGGGGAGTCTGTCTCGGACAAGAGTTCATAAGGGGACGTGACTTGAAAGGCAATACCCATTCTTTTGTTTCGGTAACTTTTCATATGAATAAGGCGCCTTTTCGTTTCGTTTTCGTTTCTGTACCGATAAAGTACAGATTCTTTACTGAGAACC